AACGAGGCACACGATTTTTTCGTTTCTCTCTCATTATACGTTAAATTTTTAGCAAACCTATATTAAACCCGAACTTGATTCATTTCTATATAAAAATGTTAACGCGACTTATTCGATATTTTTACTAACCAATCTATAAAAGAAAAAGATGAAGATAATGCAAAGAAGTATCTTACATTATATTTAGACATTATTCGTTCAAAGAATTCTACCTTCATTTTGATCATCCTATATTTTAATATTTCTCCTCCGATTTTGGTTAAACTCTTAAAAGTCACAACGAACAACTCGATTTATTTTCGAATAGAATAGAAATAAGAAGTTATACGCTTTCGTAAAAATATCAAGTGTACCAACTCTTTAGTCGATTTTTTTTTTACGTTAAAAAACTATCGTTCGAAGAGATGGAAGATCTTGTATATGGGAATACATGGTTTCTGAACGTTGCCATTTATGTGAAAAACGCAAGGGACACAAGCTCAGAGACTTTTGAAAAATGGCATTGGTTCTTCTTTCGTATTCTTCGATCGAGAGACCCTCAACTAAAGAAAGAAAGACAAAGAAAAAGAGAGAAAGAGAGAGAGAGAGAGAGAGAGAGAGAGAAAAAGAGAGAAACAGAGGGAGAGATGGAGGGAGAAACAGAGAATAAAATGGTGACTAGGAGGTTAAAGGACATGGAGAAAGAGTAGCTCGTAAGTTTGAGACAGAACGATCGTCAATGGAGGTGTCGGTGATAGAGATGGCTGATGGTGCCCGCGAAAGCCGCGATCATCGTCGAAGAAGAAACTTAACGCTAGGCACGTCGACTCTTCGTCTTTTAGCAAGAGAAGAGCGAGACCATTAATCTTGCTTGACTTTGTGCCATTCTCTTGGACTTGTCCGTACCTCTTTTAAGACGCTTTTCTGCAGGAACGATGAAAACTTTTAGATAATCGTCTCGTATCAACGCTTATCTTTGTTCTTGTAAAAGTAAAATAATGTGTAAGATCCCATACATCATCACGATCTTATGCATTGTAAAAACTTAATTGCATAAAAGAAATAAAAAAATAAATAAATAAAAATAAAAAATTAAAATAACGTTCTCTTCGTTTTTTTTTTTTTTTATATCAACCTATTATTACTCGTTTTAAAAATGTAAAGGTAAAAAATTAATAAATTAAAACAGATAAAATTCAAGCCTGTATATGGGATAAATAAACTGTTTATTACGAAAATAGTTTAAATCCATTTGCCATATTAACAAGATATTTAATGGCTTGCATTTTAGTCGATCCAAAAATACTGTTTATTGTTAATATATTTTTTTCGATGTTCGTAGGAATGGGAATCAATGTAAATTCATTATAAATGATATTTATGAGAATTACTTAAAAAAAAAAAAAAAAGAAAAAGAAAAAATAAGTGTTTCTATGGTCTATAAATGGACTCAATACTTCCATAACAAACGATTTTACAATGTCATTTAATTTAAACGAAATCTGTATTGGCCAATGCACATGGATATTTAAAAATCTGGGATGTACATTCTTTATTAATAAAAAGTTCACATTAGATTATAGAATATATACAAATTAATTTTTAACTGTTTTCCTTTCATTTTTGTTTTTTTATCAAATAAAATCGAGCGGTTCGCCACTTTCATAATAAACGGCTTAAAAATTCTTTTAATTGATTTAATCGCAAAACTCATCGTACATTTTGATATTCATACTTTCTTTCTCGGCGGCACGTGGATATTCGATACTTTATATATCCGATAAAGAAACAAATTTAAAGAACTTTAGCGATCCACGATGTAAAGTATGTAAAATATATAATACCTATCTACATTATACGAAGACGATGGTAGAAGGCGAAAGATCGATACTCGAGATAAACGAATTAGGTAGATCCCTATCGAAAACTTTCCTTTAGTCCAATTTGCGAACATCGAAACTTTATCTCACGGAACCATATCAGAAGGGAATAGTATGAGACAATGTTCTTTGAAAATAAACGTAATGACGTGTAAGTCTTGAGCCACACTACATTACCTTTTAACGCTATCCACATTGCATGACTATATTTTGTATTCGATCTGTCTGTCTCTTTCTATCTCTCTCTCTCTCTCTCTCTCTCTCTCTCTCTCATTATATTTCCTTAACTTTTTTTTTCGCTAAAGTCAGGTTCAACTTCTATCTTTCGTTGTTGGTTTCCTTTAATGAAGGAATCCTTTTAAAAAAGGATGCTCCTATTGGCAATGATTATGGTACGTGATAGAGAAACTTGAAAACGTGAAAGTCAAGAACGAAGAGAGAAATCTTTGGCAAAGTTTTGCCCGTCCTTACGTTCAAGTGAAGTTTCAATCAAGTTTTTGACTGAAAAATTGTACGTACCAAATGTACGTTTATATCGTCCGCATTCTATGATAGAAAAATTTCTACGAAAACCCGATTCGTCTTATAAACGTTGTCGATGAAAGAAGGAACTATTTTTCTTTTTCTTCTTTTTTCTTGTCCTTTTTTTTTATTTTATTTTATTTTATTTTATTTTTATTTTTTTTTTTTTAATCCGAAGCATTATTGACGGTATTTTCACAACTTTACTTCACCAGTCGACTTTTCACGATCGTTGAAAGCAGCACGTTCGATGTCTAATAATTGCATTTTTCTGTTATGAAAACCACTCTCTGGAAAGCTTTTCCTCTCTCGCTCTCTCTCTCTCTCTCTTTCTTTTTTTTTTAGTCGAAATAAATTTATGAACCATGAAGAAAAGAACGTAGCTATCGTTCTGTTATTCCCATAAACGAAACTCGTAACCCCTTCATTTTCGTTTGACCATATTCGCTTAATTAGAATGTTGCTTTTAAAATTGGTTGTATACAAAACAAAAAGAAAACTAACTTTTCATAACGTTACATTGAACAATGTTACTTCTTTTTTCCATCTTGTTACGTTAATTTTGCTTTTAGAAAAACACAATCCTTCGTAACTTCGTAGTTTCAGCTTTATACGCATCTGATTAATCCAATGCCATGAGATTTTAACATGCAACCAAATATACATATATTTATCCGAATGATAATAATAAAAACCGTTACAAGAGAGGAGAAAGTTAACAGGCATGTTAATTAAATTTTTTACATTGTATCATATTAAAAACCAAAAGAGTTACGAATTGCTAATGAGAACTTTTTTGGATGCATGATATAATTTTGTATAATATTTAAATGAATAACCACATTAACATGAAGTAAAAAACGAATAGTTCGAATCGTTATTAGGTGGGATTATCTATGAAATACATACAAAAAAATTTTTCCATTATATTAAAGATTTTATCGGATAACAGCAAAAATTAAAAAAATATAACAAATAAAAAAAGAAAAAAGAAATAAATACCGACGATTTAAAAACATATAAATTATATGTATACGTATCTTCGTTCACCCCTTTCATATGCATTTACGACGCTTTTCAACATGCAGTTGATAAAAAACGTTTTTACCCCAAGAGCAGAAATTCGTTATCTCTTGTTTCGAGCGATATTTATCGTTGCTCGTCCGTCCGTTAAAAGCGTCAGCGGATGGCAAGTTTTCGAAGGCGGTGGTATAACACATCGCAGAAAGAATAAAACCGACACATCCGGGATACCATTATTCGTCCATGAGGTTGGCCGATAGAACGGAGATGAAAGAGAATGAGAAACAGAAAAATATAGAGAAAAAGAGAAAGAGAGAAAAAGAACAAAACCATGGTGATCGCAATTGGAAGAGTGATGCTGCAACTCGATCCTTTCTCTCTAACTCTCTCTCTTTTTTTCTCTCTCTCCTCCCGTTTAGGATAGATACCCTTTAAAACGTCAAACGACGATTCCGATCCTAAGATTAATCCATCGCTCGTAATTGGAAGGTCGCGCACGTGTCGCGATCCGGAAATTTACGATCTCGTGCCGGTTCCGGAGTCATTCCGTTTTCGTTTTTCACAGAGAAAAGCGTCGTTCGTTGGATAATAAAACCTCGTTTCTCGCGAGTCGAACGCAAACAGTGACTGTTGGTAAAAGGAATGCTAAGGGATAGAATAGACGACGTCTTGCACCTCAATTTCAAAAGGTAATTCTTATTCCTCGATTAATGAACAGTATATATTAACCTTAGAGAAAGATTCCTCAAATTACGTCTTCATCTTTTATATTTCTTCTTATTTTCTATTCCCTTTGTAAATTAAACACCAAGACAATGAATGCTTAAAGAAGTTATTATTTCGTTAGATGTTAATTTTCTACTTCACTTCTTGTTATTTCTCAAATCGTTATCATTGTCTTCTGATTTCTTTCTTTATTTATTTATTTTTCCTTCCTTTTTTTTCCATTAAGTAAGATTTATTTTAATTAATTTAAGATACCCTCTGTAATTATCACCGTTTCTCTTTAATTACTTGTAATATTTAATCTTATATGTTTTCTTTAGATTTTATATAGGTACATAGCTATTGTTAAATGCTTCTTCTTAAATTTCCTCTTATAAGATTGCAGTTCTGGTAGTAATCAACTTCTCTCTCTCTCTCTCTCTCTCTCTCTCTCTCTGTTCTACTTCTTCGTTCAAATATAATTCGCAATCAAAAGAACAAGTGTAACGACTTACGTTTTAAAGATATTCTTTGGATTCGCTCGAACGAACGAATCGAATAAACTTTTTAAAAGTATTAAAAACTGATTAGAACAAAAAATGGGAGGATGAGAATCGAGAGATTAAAAGTATTCGAGAACTTTCGTCAAGCCTTTCGAGGTGCATCGTAATACTGTCGAGTTACACGTAAAATCGTTGCTAGCTGCCATCAAAGAGAAAGAGAAAGAGAAAGAGAGAGAGAGAGAGAGAGAGAGAGAGAAGGATTGCGTTAGATTTTAAGGGTGGACCGCGCAGGGGCGCTTAAGATAGCACGAGCACCTCGAACACGTGGTAAAGCTAGATGTCGCCCCTTAGGTCGCAAGCTTTCAAACTCAGCGATCCAGCCAGTCCGCGGCTGTCTGTGCTCCGCGAAACGCGACTTCCGGAGTTCGTGATTAAATTCGAAATCGACTGAACGATTTTCGTAACCCTTCGATTTGGGAAGATCGTTGGACGTTACCTTTTCAGGGTAAGTTCGGAAATAACTTTAAGGAAATAACTAATACTAATTAGGAAATAACTAGGAAATAATTAAACTAATAGGAAATAACTTTCTATTTTTTTTTCCTTTCTTACACTGAGCGTAAACATTGATTTGTATATAAAGAAAACGGGAAATTGTTCCGACATTTTTAAAAATTCATACGTCTGTTTTAAAAATCGTACTTTAAAAGCGAATCTTTCAAAAAAGAATAACAAAAAGAAAAATCTGATCGAAGTTCTTGTCCGAAGGACGAATGTCTATTCATTATATTGAAACTCGTAAGACGTGTATATATTTTTGAGGATCGATAGAAAGAGGAAGAGAAAGAAAGAGAGAGAGAAAGAGAGAGAGAGAGAGAGAGAGAGAGAGGCTTAACGGGGCCGAGGAAGGTTGCCTAATTACAAGACTTTCTTTTTGTTTCGTTTTTACGCGTCGTTATGCGGTAGCTAATTAGTTTCCTGAACGTCAGTGAAAAAATGTGAATTCACGCGCGCATATTCGGCAGATACCTTAAACACGCGATAATTATGACTTAGAAGTATTGCGAACGTTTTCAAGTATATTTTTCGTGTGCAATATCGTGTTTCGTGCAAAAAAAAGAAAGGGTAGGATTTAAAACGTTAACACGAATGCATTAACGTCGGTCCCGAAATAAACGTAATCCTGCTGGTATGAATAAAAGTTAAGCGCTTTTTCCTATTTCACTTTATTTCTCTTTTATTTTCTTTTATTTCTACTATTTTATATAGTGCGCGTGAGCGGTAGTACATACTTTTGCAAAATGTTACATAATGTTGACGATTAGGGTGACCGCCGAAACAAAAGCAAGTACTTCATGTTGTAACTCGTCTCTTTATTCGTAGTTGTTGTCCTTGTTTTCCTCGTTGTCGTTCCTCTCGTAGTTCTCCCGTTTGGATTTAAATGAATGGTACCGTTCCCCCCCCCTCCCCCTCAACACTCTCGAATCTTTCGGATTTACACTTGACGAGTGTTTTTGAAAGCGTTTGTAAAATTATTCACCTTTTCATCGTCGGCCGTGATATACATTGCTCGTGGCTGCTACGACGCGACTAATGAGAACGCACTTAATTTGTAAGTGTGATACGTCGACTTTTACTATTGCTAGTCGACATCGGTTATAGTATATCGAAAGGAAAGTATGAAAATTTGAATAAATAAAATCGTGGGTAGACGACCTATCATAGTTAACAAATTATCTAGATACCTAAATGAAAGAGATAGGGGAAATATTAAAAGGAGAAGCAAATTAAAAAAAAAAGTAATAATTATAATTAACGATGTTGATACACCGAAAGATTTCTAATCTCGTTACTGAGTTTCGTTAAAAATATTTCCCATATATGCAGTTATTGCTTTAAAATAATATATATATATATATATATATATATATATATATATATATATATATATATGCATAGTAATACATAGATGTACATTATATATGAATACGTATAAATGAAAATTTAATCGACGGTGATACAAATATATACGTAAATAATGTAAGCACTTATGAAAAACTGAATCAATTAATTGCATAACTCATTGTAATTCAGGAAATACAAAATCGCGATCTTCCATTATGCGTCGGTCAACTTTCAACGAGCTATAACCGCATTGTACCTTTTGGAAACACCCATCTCCGATGTGCTTTATTTCGTCAAGCGTGAAAACGAATATCGAAATGAAACGAGAACAGGCTGATATCGCAGAGTGCTCCATACTCGTGGCTACTATTAAAGTACGAATTATCAGAATTATAAACGCGAATCGGACGGATATGACGACGGGTGGGCGTTAAATTCGGACCAATGATTCGGTGTCAATTTGTACATGGTGCTCAACTGAAATCGTGTCGCTCGTAACAACATCGTTATTATCACAAAGCTAGCTGGTGAAAACTTTGAAGATAGAAGCTTTTCGAGGGTCCACTCAAAAATTCACAATTAGAGGGAATAAAAGAGAAAAAGAGAAATCGGTAAAAGGGGAAATGATATTTCATTGTATTAATAATAAGCTATATATATTTAAAGATACGATAAAATACAATCTTTGAGAATTAAATTAGATTGGATTTTCCCCATAATTAATCGTTTTCAAATTATTATGAAATGGATCACTTATAAAATATAATATAAAATCGATCGATGAATTAATGAAATTATAAAGATAGGATGATAAAGAAGAATGAGAGAATAATCAGACTGACTTTGGTTGACACAAAAAAAAAAACGAATCAGAAAATTACGTCCATTACAATCAATCGAATTATCCTCGCTCACGATTCGGTCTTCCATCGAACGAATTCCGAAGCCAGAAGAACTTAAAATGAGAATGGAGAATCGGATGGCTTAAACGGACACGAAGGAATATAAATTGTAACCACATTCTATGGAGGAGCAACCGAGTGACGAGAGACTTTTCGACGTTTTCGTAACGTCGACGGTAGCAATACTATCGTGCTAAGCTGCTGCCGCACCTGCTTGCAGTATGCATAATGCTAATTGTCCCTTTAACAAAGCTCCAACGCCCCTCGCAAAACTACGCCAACTCGAGGTTGCCGACCTGAGAATGTATCTTTTTCTTTTCTTTTCTCTCCCTTCGCTTTCTTTCTTACTCTATTCTACTTCTCTCTCTTTCTCTTTTTCTTTATTTTTCTTTTTTTTTTATCAAATTCTTTAAAAATATTTTTTCAAAGGTTGCTGATAAATTGCATGCATGGGTATGTCGAGAAATATCAAAAATCTAAATCATGTAACATATATATCTACTTATTGAACAATACAAATGAAATTTTTTTTTTAAATGTCATAAATGCAATTTTCGATCTATGATATGATTTCAAAGCAGCAATCGTATTTAATAAATCCACAAAATGTGAGATGATGTTAACAAGAGAGAAAGATTTCTCCTGACTCATCAAGTATGAAGATTGAAACGTAGGACTCATTGTTAAGTAGGTACAGTTAGCTAATGCTTCAACTTGTACGTTACGCTGAGCTTTGAACATTTAATAATTTATAATGTGTACTCCTTTTCGTATAACGCGACGTATCGAGATATTTTAGTTGTAGACATGTTTTAAGAGAATATAAAACTTATTGCTTGCTTACTAACCGTATAAAGCATATATAATTTTACTGCACACATATATATATATATGTCTATATATATATAAATAAATATATATATATATACAAACATATACCCACACACATTTGTCTTTACGATTGAATGATTTTATTCAACGTTTCCTATCTCAATTCGCACTATTTTATTTTAAATCAAAACAAAATTTTTTCGCATTCATCGATCGAAAATTTCAGCGAGATACATATCATTAACAGATTAATGATATGTTTCTTGCACGTTTGTCTTTCCTCAAAGACAAATCAAATACGATTACCATTTACCTTAGTGCAGGTACGATACCAACACACTGTGAAAATCAACGGCATGCTCGTACGTCTTGAATAACGAACGATCGTAGCGATAATTGATTCTACGTGCCCTGTCGAATAATGCTTTACACAATCCGTCTTATCCTGTGCTCGCTTGTAGACGATACCCCTGGAACGGATGCCGTAAGCCACGTCCATTCGATTCATCCATCGCAGGCATACACGATTAGGAACGATCGACGCGATGTTAGTTCCCTGTAGATGACCGTCAATAGCATTGCCCGGCAGTATCATCGACTCGTACTACTTGATATCAACGACAAACACAGCTTATTCGATTCGCGTGTTTATCGTTAGGATAGGTCATTATTTGTATAACCGAAATGATTTGATTTTAGTTAAAAAAGTGACATTTAATATCAAACAAAATAACATGAGCACGAAATAAGTAACTTTATTATAGTTAATAATTAATAATTAATGATTGTAATAAATCTGTATAACAATTATGACTTATTGAAACTTCAATTCATTTTTTAATACTTTAAATATTAGATCGAAATTTCGCTCGTATTTCGAAATTATTGAATAATTCGATGTCTCGATAATACATAGATGATCGAATGCTTTGAACAAAGGATATATACGGAAAGGTCTCATCGAATCGACCGTGAGACATTATTAAAGCGAATCTGTGCGGTAATGCGGATTGATTATATCCACTCAGACCATCCAGAATGTGGATATGATGTATCGCTATGAAAGGGATACGGAATTCATCTCATCTCCGCCATCTTTCGCACCTCGTAATCAATCCTCGCCATTAATGTAAACCATATCGAATACCAACAGTTATCCATATCTCTTTTTCGATATATCCTTTTTGATCTTTAAATCTTTACGACGAAATTATTCGATTAAATTAATACAACGATCGATCATGATAAAATTTTGTTAACAAACTGATGAACTATCCAAAATATCTTCTTTCGTTTTTGAATAAAAATAAAATGTTAAAATGTCGGTCACAGCATAATTAAAGTTAACTCGTTAAATTAAAATTCTCATTCCTACTAATTACGATGTACGTTTGTGAATTTGATAAAAAAAAAATAATTACATAAATAAATAATAAAAAAAAAAAGAAATAAAGATTTGACATAAAATCGATCGCAATAACAAATCATTACACTCGATTCATTCAATCGATTCATTCATTCAATTTTACAAATGCCTTGTCTTTAAATATCTACCATCCGGAAAATTTCGATAATTCAACTGAAAGAACTAACGTAATTATCGTGAATATTGTCGCGGCGACTATTACATAGTACCGTAAATAAAATAATATTTTTTTTTACATATTTCAATAAAAGAATGTATGTACGTATCTTTTCACTAACATTCAATATACGCGAGAATGAACATGATGGTCCTGTTATTTATTTTACAATCCTTCTTTCTAACTCCTTTATTCTTTCGCGTATTCCGTTAAAAATTGCGAGAAAATGCCAGGAAAACCGTTTGAAATCGAATGTGAGATTTCCGTGCAGGTCAGCCGTCTGG